GCACACATTCTCATACATATATATAATTTCCCATGTAGTATGTCTCTTATGTCTGTCTAAATGTGACCTGCTATAACAAGACTAACATTTTTTGCAAGTGACAGAAGTCTTATTTGTTCATGTGAATTTTGAAATATATTTCTAATTTGACAAGTTCAGTGGTACAGGGTGCTTGCTGTGTTAACACAGTAGAAACTGAATTATTCAATTATTTCCTTCCTTAAGTATAGGAAAATTCTTGTATGTCTTGGATACCGTTACAAAGTAACAATGGATAAATGCTGAATTTTTAATCACCACTGACTACTATATTAATAATGAAACTCTTGAGAAATAGTTCACAGGTTTATTATTAGTGGATACCCTGGTAGAGTAGTGCTACTATGTGTTCAAAACAAAGAAATGTGATGAATGTTTAGCATTCACTTCACTTTAAAAAATCACACCCTGTGCATTATGTGGCTTTCCTGAGAAAACTCCATCTGTTACGAATTAAGTGAAACACTATTTCCTTTACAGTAAAAATAACGCCATGATTTTTTTCAGTCTTTTAGAGAAAGGAGAATGACATAAGCTCTAGCAGAGATATTTTGCTTTCAGATTCTTCTTTTGAACCCTGCCTGCCTACCAAAGCAGCCTGTGGTTCACAAATGGGCTGTGCTCGTGGGAGCAGATTATTATATGTATGTCTGCTCAGACAAATACACCTGAAGAATCTGGCATTTAAATGGAGCCCATCACGGAAGAGCTCTAGCTAGGGCCTGACCTTTCTTTGTATAGCTCTCTAATCAGCATGCTAGTTGGTTATTGTTACACTGTGCTATATGGTGTGATCTCTGCAGTATACATTTCCATCTTAAGGGGAAGTAGTCGCTGTAATATGCCTGTATGTATCCTCTGACCTTGACTTTCATTTCTTTATGAAAATACATAAACTTTATGTTTAGGAGATGAGCTGATACTTTCTTGCATTTTATATAAACACTTTTAAAACAGTTTATTTGGGAAGAGGGTTGGAGAAATAAACGGGCTAATAGGGCTGTTTTGCATTATTACTATAACACTTTTGGCTGCAAGGAGCGTTTCTTAAAAGCAGCAAGAGCTCTAGATTGTATTAGAGAGGCTGGACGTGAGGTTTGTCAGCGCCTTGGCTCTTCTGTGACCGCTCGCAGCTTCTGTCGGTCAGAGTATGGCTGAGTGCCGCTGTCCTCAACGTGGGCAGGAAGGGCTGTCTTTGGTCCTCATTGTTTTTATGAAGAGTTGTAGGTGCTCGGGTTGTCTGGAGGTGGGGACGTTTCACTTATATCTGTTTCATTTATACAGCCACTGCTTCTGCCTTTGTGCAAGCCATGGTAAAACTCACATGTGACCACCACCTTTCTTCTTCCATCATGTTCCTCTCCTTTCTGATGGCCAGTGTCGTAATATTTGCCTGTGATGTAGGAAGAAGAAATATTGTAGGAAGCACGGGGTGTTTGAGGACATATGGGGAGCACTGTGGCCCAGAGACCAAGCCTGTCAGCCTTACGGTGGGCTTGATCTCCAGCAGCTCGGGGGGTCTAGGCCTTAAATTAGCAGTTTGCTCATGTAAATATGAAAAGGTCCCGTAGTGTTATGTTGCCCCTCATTAATAAAAATGAATGAGCTGAGCAGATCCTACCTTCTGTCTGACTATATATGTGGGGTAAAAGCAGTGTTTCTGTGTTTTTATTGTTTTCTAAATCCAGCCTGTTTGTCAGAACGATTCATGATCACGTCATGCAGATCTTTACAGGAGGTTATTTCATACAAACTCACATATGTAGCGTATAAAAATCACAGACAGAAATCAAGAAATACAGCCATCATTCTTACTGCCGGCTTTTTTTTTTTTTTTTTGCATCGGTTACTGTTGCTCATTATAAATTTCACCTCCAGCAGTTTGTTTTTCTCTTCACTTATGCAGAATGCTTGTTCTTTTGAGTCATCCTTGTCATATTTCTTCCCACAGCTAAACGCTACTGTAAGAATTCAAGTCCAACCAGCAGCACAACAAGCAGTTATGCCCCTAGCAGCAGCAGCAATATGAGTTGTGGTGGAGGCAGCAGTGCCAGCAGTACCTGCAGCAAGAGCAGCTTTGACTATACTCATGACATGGAGGCAGCGCACATGGCTGCTACTGCTATTCTGAATCTCTCCACTCGCTGCAGGGAGATGCCTCAGAACCTCTCCACTAAGCCTCAGGATCTCTGTGCGAGGGTAAAAATTAGTACTTCTGTTTGTTGATGAAGATTTCTCTTTACTGCACTTGCTCTGTGGCCCTAATAGAAGAATAGCTTTAGTACATCATGCTTTTTTTTTTTTTTTCCCCCTCATAACATAATCTGGTGTCTCTGCTGAAGCAGGGAGGAAAAAAAAAATATGCAAATTGCTCACAAGTACCTCAGGAAATCCTGATCGGTATATAAACTGATGATACTGATAGCATGTATTCCTTCTTTTTTTAATTTGTCTTTTACTAGGGAGATCTATAATTATAAAAGATGTTTGGATTGCTCAAGTGGTATTAATTGCACTACTGATTTTTTTTTGCTAAACACAGTCTGATTCATACATTTTGTGAAAGGATTAAGATTTAACGATGTATTTTCATTGAAAAGTCACAAATGGGACCTAAGGTTGTAAGATCTAGTACAAAGAAATCTGTGCTACTTGCCTTTGAAATCACAGTTTTTAAGTCAGTGCATAATAAATTTGGAGTGAACAAATCCTCCAGTACAGTTGACTTTAAACGTGCTTAACAGTAGTGCAGGGTCACTAACATTCGGTATGTGCATAGAGCCTCAGTATATTATGAAATAGCTATACAGATACCAATAAAAGCTTTTGTTGTTAAGCTTTATATATTAAGAAAAACAATTCACTAATAACATTCATTAAAGATTTACCCAAAGATTTTTTTTTTTCATTATAAACATTAAGTTTCGACTCTGATAGCTGTGAAGAAATGAGTATTTAACATGCACCAGCAAACAGTACGGTGCTACCTATACGAGACCACTAGATGGCTAAGTAGACAGATGCAGTGCAGAGGAAACATTTTTATTGTGCTTATAGAAGAGCTTTTGAGCTGGCAGACATGTTCTGTTCTTCTACATATAGACAAAGGTTTTCTTCCCCTCATCGTGTAAAGCGCCTTGATCATTCTTAACAAACTAAACCCATAGCAGTAGGTATTAGTAATAATTATGATTCAAGCCAGAATGGCTGGTGATTTTGTTTTCAAATGCTGCTTTTTATATTAATTTATTTAATACTGTTCAAGAGGGAAATCTTTTTCTGGCATTTAAATAAATGCAGTTTTTCTCTATATCAACATGATGGAAAAAGTTGGAATACAATGCTAAAAATCTTCTGTGTCAAAACCAGAAGGGGCCTCTTTCCTAATGTGTCGCCCTATATTGAGACTGAAGGAATGAATCTGAGAAGATAAACAAGTATTTTCTATATTAAATTAGCAGGATAGCAGCAATTAGATATATGCTCTGACAAAAGGGAGTAATTCAGAAAGAAAGATTTGCATTCACAGTGCTTTTCTGCAGCTCTGGTGTTACTCCAGAGGAGAGAAAGTCATCAGACATACGAGGAGTCAGTCGCATTCACATTAGTTTTGAAACCAGATTTCTTGTGGGGCGTTTCATTTTTGAAAGGATGTGGGCATTTTTATTTTAACTGTCCTTAGTTTTTTAAAATTTGTCTTCATTTTAAGATATCTTATTTCTTCTCATCAAATATAAGAGACAACCCTTTTTTGTTTCTATAAAAGAAAAAGTCAGAGCCTATAGTCACCCTATTTTTCACAGTACCTCAGTCGCTGCAGAAATTGGCACAACTATTGTTGCAACTATTCCGCTACCTAAATTTATTGATTATAAAGATAGATATATGAAATGTTAATACATTTACATCTGCAGGGAAGGAACTGTGAAATTTGAATGTATTTCCTCATTGGCAAATGGTGTCCAAAAGGACTTGTTTTGGTACCCTACATCCCTGTTTAATTTTCTGACATTATCTATTCAAGCATTGACTGTTATGTTAATGTTAAATAACAAAGAAACAAAGATTACTTGATGCTAGCTGGTTTTTGTTACTCTAATCATCCAGACAGGTGTCAGGACTGGAAACAAGAATTATGCAGATGTTACCTCATAGATACTCACCTGTCACAGAATAAATCAAGAGCATAAAACAACAATAAGAAAATACCTTTAGAGATACCTCCTTTTCATTCCAAATTTTGCACCTGTGTGCTGGCTGGCAGGAGGGGTAATGAAGACTCTTCCCTCTTCCTCCAAACATCAGATTAGCCATTCAGGAAGAAATCTACTTTAACAGCATTAATGTTGTGTAACAGCATCATGCTATGTGTGGGAGGGGGCTCAATGCTTACAATCTATACAGGAATGGAAAAGCGTTTTATCATTCTGCTAGGCAATCAGATTGAAGAACACAGAGAGGTAACAGTTTGCTAGTGTGAAGCCGAATTAACAATATTTTTCTTATTTTGACAGAATCCTGATATGGAAGTCGATGAAAATGGGACGTTGGATCTGAGCATGAACAAGCAGAGGCAGCGAGATGGTTGCTGTACCATTTTGACACCACTGGAGCCAATGTCCCCGCAACGGCAAGCCGTGATGAATAACCGGTGTTACCAACTGAACGAGGGTGACTGCTGGGACTTGCCAGTGGACTACACTAAAATGAAGCCCAGTAGGATAGATGAAGATGATTCCAAAGAGATTAATGTATGTCTTTTTCATCTATTAGTTCTCATTGCAATCTAATTTTGGTATTTCATTAAATTTCTGAAATTTGGAGGTAAAGAGGAAACAAAATTAATACGTGATAAAAATGGTGGTTTTCTACCAAGAGGACTTTCTGCTGGTTAATCTTTAGGACTATATCATGCTGGCGCACATCTGATCTGTGACTAAGTTCCATAAGACAACATTTGAACCATGAATGTGAATCATGTTTTCTAACAGCATCATCTTGTTAACAAATATCTTCTGCAGTGAAGATGTTTCGCTATATCCAGATTACGTTACTCTCTATAAGCAAGTTGACATAACTTTGCAATAGTGGGATAATCAGCTCTCAAGACAAGATATTCGCCTGAATTTGAAAACCATAAATGATGTGCTGAGTATTTGAAAGCATGTATTACTTAGAAATCAATTTAAACAAAAGCAGCAGAGTATAATGTAAGCTTTCTACTATTTTAGCTAATCTTCTTCTAGATTACTTATACACTCCTGATAGCTCTCTGTGTGGAAGGGCCTGTATTAATGAAATACTTTGTTTCAAGAATACAAAGAAGGAATGTTACAAATAGGTGTGACTTTCCAATTCATAATACCAAGACAACAGCAAAACCCTTTAAATGGAGGAAGCAAATAAAGACAATAAGTTACTGAATTTTTTTCTACTTTTCAAAACTTAGAACAGCCAGGACACTGAAGACGTCTGCTGACAAGTTTTAATGTCTCTGCTTTTGTTCATCGCGTTTCAACCTTAACCACTGTGTAGTTTACAATGCTGCACTCAATGCAATTTAGCCGTTTGGAGACTTCCAGACACTGTTCTGTGTTTTTTCTTGGTTTGTAACAGAAAATCAGGCTAATCATTTGTGCGTAGCACATCTATTGCCAATCTTGGTTAAAACATATAACTTTGAAACATACAACAAAGTGACATTTTGACTAGATACACTGAATGCATTCTAGCTCTGGTGTTAATTACAGTTTTGCTATTAATTTCACTGAAGTTAGGAGGAAATCTGTCACTATTGAGGAAACGTGAGGTAAAGCAGACAGTATAACGTGGTTTTTTCAGGGCAAGCCCAACTCCCTATTTTTACTGTGGTGTTCATAGCACCATCTGCAGGAATCGCTAAATCAATGCTTTCAGCCACTTCATTCCTGAAGTAGATGATTTTGAATTTCTGAATGCATCAGAAAAGTTATTTACAAATTATATAATTCTATTTTGCCAGACAGATCCACTGAGGTTTGCCTTAGATTGAGATTCTATGTGTAGATGTTAAGATTGCTCCTGTTTCATCTTTGAGATGTTCTAAACTGTTAAAAATGTTATTTAAGATGGCTTTTTGATGCATAAGATACTGTATTTAGTCATCTTTTTTTCCCTTTCCTCTGTTTTGTGGTGACTTCAGGAAAAAATACTGATTCTTTTAAAGCAAAATAATATGACCACTATAGAAAAAGTTGTGGTTTGCCCCTTTTTTTTTCTTTCCTAGTTAAATAAACTATATATTCCACATATTTTTGAGTCTTCATAGAAATACCCAAATATTATTTAAAAGTTTAATAGGTAAAGGAATATAAAATAATTTCATTAATTTTCTCTGGCAGAATAGGATAAAGAAGGAGATAACTTCTGATGCCTCTGCTTTGCATTATTTTGTGTAAGTTGTAACCTCACACAGCTGAAACTATAGAATAACTAATGCGTATATATTTGCCTGTAGCCAGAAGATTTGGATCCTTTCCAAGAGGCGCTTGAAGAAAGAAGATATCCTGGTGAAGTTACAATCCCAAGTCCTAAACCCAAATACCCTCAATGCAAAGAGAGCAAAAAGGATTTAATAACGTAAGCATAATGTGAGGTGAAATTATTTTTCTCCTTTTAACCTTTTCTCTCTTTGTCTTTTTTTAAACAAACGAGTACATATACGCCTTGCAGTATGAGCATGCAACATTTGCAGCATATAAATGTTTCAAACTGCCAGTTAAGTAAAGTGATAAGCTAACGTGTATTTGCTTGTTCTTAATGATGCTATATTGTATTGAGACGCCATTTTCATTTAAACCTGTTCATTTTGCAGCTTTTCGATTAGGATGCTTAAAACCCCTTGCAGTCATTGCAGCTAAACTGGAAACAATGAAACATTTAAAAGTTTTTTTTTAAACATACTTACTATTTTGGCTGTTTTTGTTTTTGTTTGGTGGCAGATGTCCAACACCAGGGTGTGATGGGAGTGGTCATGTGACTGGTAATTACGCCTCACATAGAAGGTGTGACTTCATTTTTTTCATGGTGGATTCTGTCTTTTCAATTTATTGTTTTCAGCTTACCTCAACAATGCTGTCAAAGTAAAACGTTGAACTATGTGTTAACCCTTTGAGTAATATATGTTGATCTTAAAAGCATGCTAATTTGTGTGTTGTATAAACGTCTTTTATTTTTAAATAGATTACTAAAATTTCCAAAGTATTCTTAAGCATTTAAGTAGTTAACCCAGGAATCTCAAATATTTTTTGTTACATTTTACTAGTTCATAGAGAAACAACAACAAAAAAAGAACATTTACAGTATGTAATTCTGGAAGTAATGTTGATACCTAAATATATTCAGAGGGTTAACTATATTACAAAATTCAATATTACAGCACTTGCCCCATCGCTTTTCTGCATTACAAACTTTTACTTTTTAATTTTTATGTTGTGTTTGTTTGGGAGTGTTCAGTTAATAAGAAGATTAACTTACTTGTATGTCCTGCCCTGTCTTACAGTTTATCTGGCTGTCCCTTGGCTGACAAAAGCATTCGAAGTATGCTGGCCACAAGCTCACAAGAACTCAAGTAAGATATAAAGAACAAATATTTTCTTTATAAATATTTATTTGACCACAAATTGTGTATTATTGTACCAGAAATAGGCTGTCTGGAGAGCTGCTGCAGAGGGGGCTGATCCTGCTTCGAACATGTGTTGAAGTCTCTAGAAATTCCATCCAGGCTGGCTCTATACATAAGTCTGTTGACGTAGTGCTTCCTTTTGTGTATTCATTAGGTGATAGGGATTGACAAAAGTCAGAACTTCTGGAATTTCATCTAAATGTTTCAATTCCTATTCAATTTTTTTCTGTTTTGAGTTTGAGTTTGCTAGTTAGAACAGAAAATTCTCATGTGATTAGACTGATGAAATACTTTGATTACACAACCAGTGAAGTGCTGCAGTTTCTCAGACATAGATCGGAGGGAAGAGAAAACAATTTGTTTATCCCTAATGCTTACATAATTTTCCCCAGGTTTGTATCACTGTTATCAGCTTAATGCATTTTCTAATTTGACTTTGTTTTTTAGTGTTAACTTAGTTATTCCCCTACTTAAAATACATTCTTTACAATTCCTTTCAGTTCTTTGGAGTGACAATTGTCAGCAATGAAACTTAGAGAATTGTGAGACAGCTTTGATCTGTCTTCCTGCTTGACTGAAACTCTGTATGTGAAAGAGCTATAGAATTTTTTAGTGCTATGAGATAGTGGTACTCCTGAGTTGGTACTATGGTTAACATGGAAAGATGTTCACAAGTAAAAGGAAAAATTGGGTAGGGAAAGTATGAGTGGATAGCTTATGCTGCCATGCTAAGCAATATTCTGTCTTTACCATACATGAGTGCCTTAAATAGCATTTCTTCAGTTCAGTACATACCTTGATGAAAAAAACAACTGTAAAGCATGGGAAAGATAAGAAAGCAAGCATGGGAAACCTACTGATTGCTCTCTAGTCTTAGCTAATCTGGTCACTAGATGCAAACAATAGGTACAAAATTTACAATTTATTTCCCACCCAGTCAAAAATATCTTTTTTAAAACTATCAGTTTAGATCATGCTGGTATCTGCTGCTAGAAGGCTATTTGGTATGAAAGGGGAAGGGATATAAATGAGATCAGGGAAAACGTGTAAGTATAAGCAGAGTAAGACATGGGCACATAAACCCCAGAGAAACTCAGATTTGGACCTGGATTCTGGGTTGGGATGGGTCAATTGGTAGATGTTCGGGGAAATGCAATTACATAACCAAGACGCAGACAAGACTATTGGAGCAGCATGAATAATACTTTAAGCACGTACTTTGCTGCTCTAACCCTTTATAAAGTTTCCACTTGTGTTAGGAAATTGTTCCTGAATTACCCCATCTCCTCTGCCTTTCTCAAGCATCTGCAGTCGAGCCTACCTAGTAGAGACCAGGATGGAAAAAAACCCCACTTGAACTTGAGACCGCACTCCTGTCTCATGCCGTTCTCTCAACCTATTGCAAGTTTTGCCTAAGCGAAGAGAACAAGATTAAGTCATATTTTAAATTATATTTTCAGGTTTAGCAGCCATTATTTATTTAGCATTTAGCATAAATTATTAATTTAGCAGTTATTGTAATACCTATTGAACACATAAAAACTGTTAAGTGAATTCAAAAATTAGGAAATGCCAGAATTCTAAGCAGACTGACTTAACTCGTTTCTCTTTTGCATTTTCATTACAATGCAATCCTTCATTTTCTGATCACATATTTTTCCATTGGATAACAAAGTAATTCATTGCACAGGGCAGACAGTAATCACTGCATAAACAGCTAATGAATTTCTTCTGTTTTCCTCATTATCCCATGTGTGGCCCTGTCTGCTATTCACTGCACTTTTCTCAAACTGTACTTTCAGGATGTAACTACTAATTCACTCACATATTTGTCCCTACCATTGCATCGGAGTGTCTCCTAATTAGTTTTTCATGGTTATAAAGGAATTAATTTATTTTCACCTGCAATTATACACTGAAGTAAGTAATTTTAAACTCAGAAATCTTAAGCATATAATTTTGATTGCTCAGTTTGAGACTTGTAGGACTCAGTTTGTCAGAGTTCTTTGCACTGTAGAGAACTGCATATGTACAAAGCTTAGTACCGACTGAATTCACTTGGAGCTGTGGGAAAGCGGCAGTTTTACATGAAGAGTGATTGATCCTGTGTGAAAAGGGATGAACTCCACAGAAAAAAGCAGGATAGAGTCCAGTGTTCCAGAACAGCAATGGGACTATCTTTTCTCCTCCCCCAAAACTCTGATCAGTCCCAGCTTCCACTTGCTCCATTCACTCTATCCTGGTTTTTTTCATCATTTTTTCTACATGTCTCAAGCTCCTTGTCCAATCAGCCCATCGCCTGCCTCCATCACATTTATATTTTTATTGTTCTCTAGCTCTTAGACATCCT